TATATATATATATATGGACCTCTAAATTTAAGAAAGAACGGGTTGAAAAACAAAAATTTATTTCGCTGTAGTCCTTTTTTTAAAGTTGATTTTAAGATGTGTTGGAAATATGATGTTGAACAAATTTCTTCGAGACTTGTGACATGGAAACCTTGTTGAGGACTGTTGTTGTTGTTTTTTTTTTTTTTTTTTTTTTTTTTTTGTCATAGGATTATTTTTTATTTCTTCTTTTAATTTTTTTAGCAATAATAGTTAAAAATGAAAGAACTTATTTTTGTTAAATATGAAAGTATATTGACTAAGCTACAACTTAACCTTTTTTGTTGACTGCTGTGATTGTATTTTTTTACGGAAACTAGCAGACCATTAACGAAAGGTTTCCTTCTGGCATAAATAGAAGTGTTAGGGGCTCGTGTCAAAGAATAGTGTAAGTTCAAGAGCTTAAGATTTGCCATTATAATATTAATGTGCAACCAAAATTAAAAATCGTCTGTTCATCAAAAGAAATAAAAATAAAATCATCCGTTATCAAAGGAAAAAAAATTAAAATCATCTAAATATCTAATCTTCCACACAATATTTAAGCCATAATCATGATGACAAAAAATTTCCATGATTGGTAAAAGGAGAAGAAATTTTCACGAGCCATAGCTATCTCCAAGAATTGAAAGCCATTTTTCAAACTTTTCCAGTCTTCACGTTGCACAACAGTAGCACAAGACCTGTAAAAGCTATATTATTATTATGGTGGGGCAAAAGGACACTGAAAGCATCAATTAAATTGACTTTAAAGGACCAAACCAAATCTTGGCGAATGCGCTTGAGTGGTCATGATCGAAATACAAAAATAGGCTACTTTAAATTACTTGGAATCTTTATATTTAGTGTAACTTCGAGGAAAGCTGTTTTATTTGCCTATCCATGGGACTATATATTAATGTACAAGCAAAATTAATTATCACATCTCATCTTCCATACAATATTGAAACCATCATTATGAGGGAAACTTTCCGTGCTATGCTTGTTCTCGTTGTTTTACTGTTCTTTGGAGCTGTAGAGTTTTGTTCTGGTCGGAACACAAGCTTTAACTGTATAGAAGGGGAGAGAGAAGCCCTCTTGAAGTTCAAACTTTGTTTCCATGATCCATCGCATATGTTGTCTTCTTGGAAAGGCAATGACTGTTGTGAATGGAGAGGAGTAGGCTGTGACAAAAATAGTGGATATGTTGTCTCACTTCAACTCCAGGGATCAATATCTGATCAACTTTATTGGTATGGTATTGGCAAACAACAACCTCTATTGTATTTGATTGATGATGTAGAGGAGGTTGTTTCAAGTTTGCTCAAGCTGAGATACTTGGAACACCTAGACTTGAGCAACAATAATTTCAATTGTAATCTTATTCCACCCTCCTTTGGCTTGATGAAGCAGCTGAGGTACCTAAATCTCTCTTTTGTGCAATTTAGAGGAAGAATCCCTAGTGAACTTGGAAATCTTTCAAGGCTTCGTGCTCTTGATCTTTCTCAGTATTATGGGGGATTGCATGTTGGTGATGACATTCAGTGGATTTCTCATCTCTCCTCTTTGCAACGACTTGATATGAATGGAGTAAATCTAAGCCATGCCTCATCAAACTTGTTCCAGGTACTTGGCATGCTTTCTTCATTATCATGGTTAAGGTTGTCAAACTATAATCTAAAAAATTCTCAGCTACCATGTCACAACCATCCCCTTAATTTTACATTGCTTGGAAACATTCAACACTTCCATATTTCTCATAATTCTTTTCATGGTCCAACATCTATTTTTCTCTAAAACATGACTTCATTGACATTTCTTGATATGAATGGAGTAAATCTAAACCTTACATCATCAAACTTGTTTCAGGTACTTGGCATGCTTCCTTCACTATCATGGTTAAGTCTGTCATGGTGTAGTCTAAAAAATTATCAATTGCCATCTCGCAACCATCCCCTTAATTTTACATTGCTTGACAATATTCAGCACTTAGCTCTTTTCGCTAACTTTTTCCAAGGTCCAATACCTATATTTATCCAAAACATGACTTCCTTGATATTTCTTGGTCTTTCTGGCAATCAATTGAATGGGAGTATTCCAGATAGCATCGGACAACTTTTTAGGTTAGAGAGGATATATCTTTCTACCTATCAATTAAGTGGAAGTATTCCAGATAGCATTGGACAACTTTCCAAGTTAGAGAGGATAGATCTTGCTACCAATCAATTGATTGGAAGTATTCCAGATAGCATCGGACAACTTTTTAAGTTAGAGATGCTAGATCTTTCTAACAATCAATTGAGTGGAAGTATTCCAAATAGCATCGGGCAACTTTCCAAGTTAGAGATGATAGAGCTTTCTCACAATCAATTGAGTGGAAGTATTCCAGATAGCATCAGGCAACTTTTTAAGTTAGAGAGCATAGATCTTTATGTCAATCTATTGAGTGGGAGTATTTCAAATAGCATCGCACAACTTTCTAAGTTAGAGAGGATAGATCTTTGTTGCAATCAATTGAGTGGAAGTATTCCAGATAGCATCGGGCAACTTTCCAAGTTAGAAAGGATAGATCTTTCTCACAATCAATTGAGTGGGAGTATTCCATATAGCATCGGGCAACTTTCTATGTTAGAGAGCATAGATCTTTCTGGCAATCAATTGGGTGGGAGTATTCCAGATAGCATTGGGCAACTTTCAAAGTTAGAGAGCATAACTCTTTCTAGCAATCAATTGAGTGGAAGTATTCCAAAGAGCATCTGGCAACTTTCTAAGTTAGAGAGCATAATTCTTTCTAACAATCAATTTGGAATAGAATTTCCTGAATGGCTTCAATTTCCAAAGACAATATTCATGGTTGATCTCTCCAATCTTAGCATCTCAGGTCCTCTTCCAGAAAACATAGGTCATACGATGCCAATGTTGGCAGAATTACATCTTGCAAATAACCTCATGAATGGTTCAATTCCAAAGTCACTATGCAATTTAAAACATATGACAGCACTTGATCTCTCAAACAACATGTTCTCTGGAAGTATTCCGAATTGTTGGAGAAATGATCAATCACTCACTTTTATTGATCTATCTTCTAACAATCTCTCAGGTTTATTTCCAAGCACAATGGCACAGCTTTCTTTTTTAGTTATACTGCACTTGAATAACAATAGTCTCCATAAGGGACTAAATGTGGCCTTGAAAAACTTCACTTCTTTAATGGTTTTGGATTTGGGTGAAAATAAATTTTCTGGAAGTTTAACAAGCATTGTAGAGGGCGAGATCAGCAACCACTCTTTAAAGGTTCTTCGACTACGAAAAAATTTGGTTTCTGGTTATATTCCTTTGGAACTATGTTCTCTCTCTCAATTGCAAATTCTAGATCTTGCGGACAACAATCTAACAAGAAGTATTCCTCCTTGTTTTGGAAAGTTTCCACTTATGATGAATGCAACAAAAGTGATCCATGATGATTCTGGGTATTGGGATCAAACACTTTTGATGGAGGTTGTGAAAGGGAGATACCTTGAGTATACAAAAAAACCTTTGAGACTTGAGATGAGTATAGATCTTTCGAGTAACAATCTAATGGGATCCATACCAGAGGAGCTAATTTTCCTTAAGGATTTGCACAATTTGAATCTGTCTTCGAATCATCTCTCAGGAAAGATTCCTGAGAAAATTGGACAAATGGAGAATTTGGAATCTCTTGATTTCTCAAAGAATGCCCTCTCAGGAACGATTCCGAACAGCATGTCAGGTTTAACCAAGTTAAGCCACCTCAACTTGTCCTACAACAACTTGTCAGGGCCAATTCCAACAGGCTATCAACTCCAAACACTCGAAGATCCAACCATATATGCTGGCAATCCTCAACTCTGTGGAGCTCCACTCTTGAAGAAATGCCCGAATAATGCACTACCTCCAACAACTACCAACTTCAAGGACAACAATGAAGGTGCACTTAAAAGAATGTGGTTTTACATTGTCGTGATGTTAGGCTTTTCAACTGGATTCTGGGGAGTTGTGGGAACTTTGATTTTGGTGAAAAGTTGGAGATATGCTTATTTTCAATGGGTGGATGATGTCCAACACTGGATACTTGTGGTTATAACATTGAAGGTGGCACAATTCAAGAAGATGTTCAATGGCAATCAAGATGATCAATGAGTTATATGTGGAGTATGTTGTTGTTGCTATATTAAGTTAGTTGAACAACCTCATGTTGTAGGTTATGGTGTTGGGTCCAACTTTGAATGGCCCAACATTGAATAGGCTAATTTAAAATAAACACACTTGTAAAGTTTTCAATAATATAACATAGGCTATAGTTCTATAGGTTTCACAAAAATAAAAATTCATAGATTCTTACAAAAAATAGACAATTCTATGCAAGACTTTCAGATTGTATGGATTTCTATCTTTCCATTTTTTTTTTCTTTAAAAAGAAAGCAAGAGATGAAAGAATGAGATAGGAAGAATGGCATAGCTGAGTATACAATAATAGCCAAAATAAAGTCCTCATATTTTCATAGTGAAAGTTTGAAACTTTCAATCATACATAATCAAATCGCTCAATTTAATACCCAATATAATGCAGCTCTTCCATAAAATTCTCATGTCTTCAATATTTCCTAAAACAAAATTTCACATTGCATAAGGTATATCAACTACGACTCATAAAACATTGTCAAAGCTAAATAGTGAAGTCCATTATGTTAGTTTAACTGTGAATAGCTAATTGATTCTTGCAACAGAAAATGAAACACAATTAATCATTTGCTGTTTTTAATTTTATGTCGCACTCTCGATATATAAGAGGCCTAAAAGCCAAAGCATGCTATGTAGAAGAACCTAGATAAACTTCAAGTATAAAAAAAATACCCACAAAAAGGATAAGGATTAATACCTCTAGCTGCAGTCTCAGTATTTAGCATTGCCTTTCTTCCAACAAACCATCACCGGATAAAGCCACTAAAAAAAGAGTATATCTAAGTGAGAAAAATACATAGATAATGTTGGTATATTTTTGTAATACAAAAATAAAATATAAGGGTGGTGTTTTTGTGACCAAACCTTTAGTCTTCTTCATCCTACAAACTCATGAAGGTGCAGATGCCACCACAATAGCTATGAAATGACTAACATATTTTTAACCTGCAAAAGGAATTATATTAAGAAAATTATGCAACTAATTAAAGCTACAAGAAACGTGTGACATAAGATTATAGGTCTCTAGCATGTACATGATAACATGCTACATATGTAGTCAAATTGTATAGCAAATCCTATTACATAGACAATATTCTCGAAGTAAACAACCCTCACTTCATATTTTTATTTCCATTCCCATCTATACTTACTTATAGAAGAGTTTGAGATTTTAAGTTCAAAAATCTTAAATTCAAAATTTTGAAACAAACCAAGAGGGTGAAAAGAGATTTAGAAAATAAAAAATAATTATCCCTTTTGTATTAAAGGGAAGATGAAGAAGAAGAGGAAGAATAAGAAAATCGAAAGGGCCAAAAAGATAAATACAATTCATTGAAGAAATTTAAAGAAAATGAAAGGAACTCACAACATCAAGCCAATTGGTTAAGGGAAAGTTGGTGAAGAGGAAGAAGAAGACCCATACCCTAAACTAAAATGTGAAAAATTTGTAGAATCACAAAATGAAGATCTACAAACCTCAAAAGCTGTGTATCTTTTCCAGACACCATTTTCTAATCATCAATTGAAGATCATTCCAAAAGTCAATCTATGCCCTCCCCCTCTAAGATACTACATATGTTTGAAGCAATGTTCAAACATTTTATATTTGACTTTAAAAGGAAAGATTGCTGAATTAAGCCTACTTAAAATTAGTACATGTTCTCATTAAAAAAAGAAAAAGAAAAAGCTAGTACATGTTGGATTGACCCAAAATATGGTTTTGTTATCGACATCAGCAATAAGTATTCACATAATTAAGTAGCATGATTTTCATTGCTATGTTTTATAAAGATGCTACAAATCAAAAGTACCTCATGCACTTAATTAGGTTGGATTAATTATAATAATAAGCAATATTAATTATATTCTTAATTAATTCAAGAAAACACACAACTATATA